CCAAGATATTCTTATTTTATAGTTTCATTTATTTTCCTTAACTATTTTGGACAAACTGGCAGGCTACCGAATGTAGCCTGCCCACACGGCAGAGTCTGGCAAACTCCCCGTGGCGTACCCAATATGCCAAATACCAGTAACAATGATGGGTCTCATTCTCCTAACTCTGAAAGAGCCTTGAATATGGCACTTTTTTAAAAAGCTCAGGGCTAGGACGAAGGAGACATTACTGGGGCCTGCTCAAGGCAATCAACGAATAACAGGATGGTCGTGATCATAATTGTGAACAAATTGCTGGATTATTTGTCTTAACAACTTGGCATTATGTTTTAGACAGCTAGAGGTTATCTTGACAGTAATTTTTTAAAAGCTTTTCCCCGTCGACCAAAAAAAAAAAGTTGTATAACTATAGTTCTGCTTAGCTGTGAATCTAATGAACTAATGTGGACTAACCACATTTCTAATGATTTGTGGTAGGTCTTCTTACCCCCATACCAAAGTTGTGCATGGAACAAAAGCCGTAACGCACAGCTCCCGTAAGGCATCCTCTTTCTCCGTGGCAGTGTCTCTTCTCTCTCTCTTGAGATTAGGCAGTGCAGCTCTACCTTGTGGGAACTGTGCTATCTTTTCTAAGTGGCTACCCAGTTAGATAGGAGTAAAGAGAGGAAAGATAAGGGCCATTCCCACATGATTGACATGGTTAATGTGTTCCAGAGAGGCCGAAGTGATTTTTCCAGTAAGTAAGTGGTGTGTGTGTGTGTGTGTGTGTGTGTGTGTGTGTGTGTGTACCAGTTCTCCTTGATGGGGACGAAGACACAGACACCTAACCATAGAAAGTGTACTTTATCTTGAAAAAATCATTCTCAGTCCCATCAGTTTTTTATGTCTTTCCATTGAGCTTTGAAAAACGGGCACCACCGTGAAAAATAACTATTGTGGTTTTCTCTTCTTTTCTTTTTTGTTGGGTAGCATTTCAAAACGAAGTACATTTGAATTCATTTGAAATTTAACTTTGGTTAAGAACCAAAACCTAAAAAGGCCATAGTTCTATTCCTTATCACACAATATTGAGTTAAGTATTCTTTCAAATTCCAATTTACTGTTAAGAATTTGACCCTGAGGCTGAAGAAGTAGCACAGGGGTAAGGCACTTTCCCTGCAGGCAGCAGACCCTGATTCAGTCCCAGATACTGCATAAGGGGCACCGTCAGGAGTGATCCACGTATACCACTGAGGGTAGCCCAACCCCAGCCTCAAAAGAAAGAAGTTTGCCTTTTTTTTTTAACTTTATAAAGTGGTTCACAATATTTGATTATATTTAATATTCAAACACCAATCCCAACACTGTTACACCTTCCCACCACCATACTTCAGATGTTTCCATCCCAAACCCCAATCACTGCCCCAAAGCAGAACCGAAATAATATATTTTGTGTTGTTTGCTATGGGCTGGAGCGATAGCACAGCAGGTAGGGCGTTTGCCTTGCAAGCGGCCCATATGGCCGAGCCGGGTTTTATTCCTCCGCCCCTCTCGGAGAGCCCGGCAAGCTACCGAGAGTATCTCGCCTGCACAGCAAAGCCTGGCAAGCTCCCCGTGACCTACTCCATATGCGAAACTCAGTAACAATTTTCACAATGGAGAGTTACTGGGCCCTCTCGAGCAAATCATGAACAAAGGGAGGACAGTGACAGTTGTTTGGTATGGAAAAACCATTGAAAACAGTACAAAAAGTATCCTTAGAGGAAAGAGTGTGAAGATTGTTGTTTATCACCCAGGGGCCATTAAGCCCTTCTATAAGAGATCACTAACATGTTCAAGTTTGAGCCTTGTGTGTGTGTTAATTAATTAACCAATTAATCTTAATTGGTTAAGATTAACCAATCTTAAATTCCCTTTAAGATTGGTTGCCTTCTACATTGAGCCCCATCAAATGTGGTGCAGTACTCTTGGAATAGGGGTAGGATGTGTGTGTGTCTGTGTGTGTGTGTGGTACGAAGTGTCACAGTCCAGGAATAGGTTCACTCTTGGGTGAGCTCACCTGAGCGGAGAGCACCATGAGCATGGCGGTGTTGAGTTTGGAGGTTTTCTGCTGCCAGGGCTAGGTCCCTTGGGATGGGGAGGGGTCTCACCCACCCCCCTCTGTCCCGGTTTTACTTGATCATTGCACTTACCAGAATGTTAAAGACTGAAAAATGGAAGAAAATACAACCAAAGATGCTGTTCCACTACCACTGAGTGTTCCAAATCCACTGAGGTTGGGTTTGTTTATGGAAAAACTATCCAATTTCTCTACTGTCCAGATCTCCAAATCCTCTGCTTGATTGATACAGGCTTTATGATGGGCAGCATTGCTCTACACTGTTTCTTCTGTCTGAGTAAAGGACATGGGAGCGCCGTTCCCTAAGTCCACTTTTCTTCTGGAGTTTAGACTTGCAGTTTCTACAACCAGGGCCGGACGGGGGTCTCCACCAGCAGTGCAGAAACTCGGTCTCTCCGGGTCCAACGAACCCGAGCACACCGGCCCTTACCCTGTTTTAACTTCCATAAATATCATACTGTCCACTTTCTCAGAGGCATTACGTATGGTGCTGTTTTTCCTTAATTACCAAAAGACAAGTTATTTTAGCTTTGCAGCCCAGATATAATGGCCATTACACACACACATACACACACACACACCAGCGAGAGAGAGAAAAGAGTGGTTGTGTGAGATGATGGGGGAGGGAGAAATAATAAACACATATATACACAGAATGACAAAAAGTTGGACAAACCCAGGACAACACTCAAAAGTGATCCCCCCCGCCAGACTGATGTCAGGCTAAAATAAAATGTAGGCTGAAATTGGGCTGCATTATTTGTAAGCCTGAGGATGTGAGATAGTAGTACCCAGGAATAAGCAAGTTTAGTTACTGAACCATGAAGTACACCGACCGTTAGAGGAATACTGCATGTGGCATTCTTTCTGAACTCTCTACAGTGAATAGGCAATGGTAGTGCAAATAAAATGCATTTCTTTTGGAGAGGTTGGGTTTGTTTATGGAAAAACTATCCAACTTCTCTACTGTCCAGATCTCCAAATCCTCTGCTTGATTGATACAGGCTTTATGATGGGCAGCATTGCTCTACCTGTATGCTAGAAAATGTCAGCATAAAACACACCTTGAGCATGCAATTGGGGGTCTCTTAAAGAGCCCCAGAGGTGCCCACAGCAGACCTAGTGTTTAACCTTTATCATTCTAGAATTGCATGTGTATATCTTTTTAAGATACTAAATTGATTAGCTTTCTCTGCTGCCTCTAGTCCTGTTCCAACTTCTCTATAGTCTTAAACTCGGAACTCCGCTCTCCTCTGTTAAGCGAACGCTTGTTTTACTTGGGCTCTCCCCTGCCACTGTTTCATGGAAATCATATTGAAATCCAAGAAGTGTGGTATATTCACAATACAACCATTAAAACCATATTTCCCAGGAAAAATCCTCATGGTAAAGCGTTAAACGGGTTAGCCGTATTACTAGCAAAATGAAAAGTATGGTCATGTTAGAATCGATCTAGCTAACAAACGGAAATGGGCTGAGAATCAGCAGAACGGCCTCAGCTGTGACTTCTTGCTGGATTCCCTGTTGCTGTTTTCTGGTTTGGTTTGGTTTTTCTCTTTTTCCTTTCAGAGTAAAAATATATATATATGTATATATATACGTATATATGTAATAAATAAATATACATATATATATAGTTTTAATCATAACAATAAAATGTTCTTCATTTAAAAACTCGTAAAAAGAAACAAAAGAAAGTCGCAGGAGCAGTTCACGGGGCAGCCAGGGAGAAATCTGCTTCGCCATAGAAAGTAACGCCTTGTTTCAGAGGACTTGCAGATTATTGGGTTCCCTGCTCATTAAGTGGCTTCGAGGTGTCCTGCTGATGAAAAATGCCAGCCCAGTGACATGCAACAGGTGCAGATCTCTGCCCCTAAGCCCTGGGAACATTGTGAGGATGGCCCGCATTTTGGCAGGGTTTCTCCGCTCTCACAGCTGCTGTGCGTCAAACAGATGCTGCTCTAACATTTCAATACTCTGAAATTTGAGCTCTGCTCCAGCTCCTCCGAAATACCCCCAAGCTGCGACCAACTCCCATGTACCTCGCCAGGGGATTGTCATCAGAACTGACAAATGAAATTCTGAGCCAGAAATCATCTGTCGTTTCGTGTGCTTCCAAGGAGAGCTAAAGGGAGAGTTGTTCATCCAGGGTACAAGGAATGGGGCAGAGGGTGGGACGAGGCGGTTAGAGCCGGTCTGTTCTTCAAGAAAACATAGGACCCAGGTTATAACTCAGAATTCCAGAGGCCTTGGCTGTGAGTCAGTTGTTCGGTGTTACATAAGGATTTTACGTATTACTGTTAAGAATATCCAATAGCCTCTGTGTAATGAATGAGGGAAGCTTACTCCAGGATGAGGCAGATTTAGTAATGAGTTCACTCATCACATCTCTTGGCCAAGAAAAACAGACACCTTCTCCAGAGACAGGATTTTTCTTCCATTCCAGGAGATAAAGGAACATATGAAGTATATGATGTCCAGACTTTCAGATGCCAAATTTCACTAGCAATTTTTTGTAGCCTAGTCATAAGTAAGTGGAAAGTGAAATTGTGAGGTAACTGGAATCTTTCCGTATCAGGAATGTCATCTCTGTACAAAAACAGCCCTGTGCTTAATCCCCTGCCTAAATACAGAACTTTTTCCTGCTGATATGCTCAGCCAGCATTGCCTTCCAAGACCCAGGATGGTGGCTAGGTGTGACAGTGTAAAATGTGCAAGTGTGTTACTGGTTTGTTCTGTTTTTAATAATCCTGAAGATTTCAGTAGTGATTTCATGAGCTTCAATATTTTCTGGGTTTTCTTTGACTTATAAAGCATAACTGTATTTGAACGCCTCACTTCAGATCTTGACTTTCTTATTTCGTTTTGTTTTTGTTTGTTTTGTTTTGTTTTTTCACCTCAGATCATTCAACCCCTCTTAGAACTTGACCAAAATAGAAGCAAATTAAAGTTGTATATTGGACACCTGACAGCCCTCTGCCATGACCGAGACCCCCTGATCCTCCGTGGACTCACTCCACCAGCTTCCTATAACTTGAACGATGACCAGGCAGCTTGGGAGACTGAGCTGCAAAAGATGACCCGGGAACAGGTGAGTTCCGCTTGGACTTTGACAGACTCTGTTAACATTCACCTGCTATTAGGTTGATGTGGTGGGAGCTGCTTTAGGGAATCCAGTGTTGAGATTCCAAATTCTTAGGAGAGGTTAGTTCTCCAACAGATAGAGGAACTACCACTTGGAAGGCAGTTTATTCACCTCAGCACAAGTGGATCTAGTATCAGAAAGCCCTGGTGGAGAAGGGAGAAGGTTCAGGACCTTCTGTTAACACACTGTATGTTATTTCATAGAAGGGATGGTCACTAATAATTAAGGTCACTGAAGAAAAGGCTGAGTTAAGGATATTTGGATGAGGGTTTTTCTTTAATTGTAGTTGAGGCAACATGGCTGAGCTACACTAATAAGAGTGTTTATGTTAATGGTGAACAAAATTACTGTTACCCCACCACCTTGAATGTCCAAGACACTCCACCACAAGTGTCCTGGTGTCACTTGTAATTCACCTTTCCGGCATCATCCCCCACCCCGCCACCCCAGCCACACACACCAACCTAGCTTAATAAACTCAGTTCTGTATTCAAAGCCCCAAGGGCTCTTGTCATTACTACCTATCTGGTGATCCCCAAGCTCAGAGCCAGGAGTAAGCTCTGAGTTTGGGCCACATATGACCCCCAAATCAAAAGACCAAAATATTGCTCCTTCTGCATTAGTGACTGGGTCCAATAAGTAACTGAGTGGGCTTTGTGTCAGGATTTTGCTGACAGCACCGTCACTGAACCGCAGCTTTGCTCTTTCAGTGGTGGGCTATCTACTGTTTGCTGAATAGAAGTTCTAGAATGCCTTCTTTCCTCCGTTTTCTTGCCTTGTCCTTATCGGTCTTTCGTGCCAGCACCACTCAGGGCTCTTCCTTCCCTTCTCCCCTTCTCCAAGTTGCTCTGAGCAAGCCTTTGGCAGACATCGGGGAGATTTCAGATTCTCCTGCTAAACCCTCCAGTTCTGGGTTCCTGCCCCTCCCCCCTGTGAAAGACATGTGCCAGCGCAGGCTCTAGAGTCCAATGGATTTCCTGCCCCTACCCTCAGAGTCTTCTGCTCCGAATTAACTGAGAATACAGAAGCACAGTGGATTTGCCATCGCATCTGTCACATGATCAGTTGCTTTGGTCAAGTGTCCAAAAAAAGTTGCGAGGTTTCCTTCTGCTCTAGTGGCAGCCAATCTGCCTAGAACTGGCCATGAGGGTTTGTGCCCTGGCCCCAGCAGCACCCAGTTTTCCATCTCAGGGTCAGGTCAGGTCAGGTCTAGCCCTGGGTGGCTTCTCATACCATGCTCTTTGCTTCACAGCAGAGGTTAGAGCATTGGTGTGCCTCTTGGCCTGTCCTCTCCTGCAGCTTGGAACAGAGGTTCTCAGACACACTCAGCTCACCTGTAAGATTTTTTACTTCTCAGGGAGGGAAAAAAAAAATCACTCAGGTTCTTCCCACCACTTTGGAAGTTGACCTATTTGAAATAAACATATTAGTCGCCGATGCATCCACAGCTATACCTGCCCATTCACACACTTCTGCAAACACTATTCTGGAGTCGATTTTTCTAGTCCTCCTGCTTCACCCTCACATCTTGCCAAACCCCACACACCTGCACCATAGCAGGCAGAGAAGATGCTTTTTCAAGTTTCCCCCTATATCTAACAAGCACTCAGCTTGTGGGGGCCAGAGGAATTAGTAGATCATGTCATTGCATCAGATTAGGGAATAGTCATTTCGGAAACTTGATTGACTATTTCTGGTGCTATAAAAATGAGTTGGTATTGACTTACTCCAATAGAGTAATTTTATGAAAGCTAAAAGATGACATAGCTTTATTTTCTGAAAATTAAAAGATTACATAGCTTTTTAAAAATTAATCTATCAAGTTAAGCTTCCTGTGGTAGCTTACTGATAATTATAGGCTAACTGGATGGCAGCGTTGAATGAATTCCTTTCTCAACTCTGCCTTGAGACATCAGAGAAGTGACTGTTACCTTTGGAGTTTTCTAAAACTGTCCCAGGTTTGAAATGAATGAGCAGAAATTTTGCAAAATTTCTGCAAAACCAATAAATGACTCTGGACTTTTTATAGATGCAGTGAGTTAGTTTTAGTTGGATTGAATTGGATAGGTGGGTTCCTGAGTGACATGTGCTACAGGACAGTGTGGCAGCTGAGGGCATAAGTTTTAGGATCAGGCAGACCTGGATTGACATTATTTTACCTCTCCTGCCTGTCTGTTTCGCTTTAAATTTCTTTACATCTCTGCATGTTCCTGTACTGTCAGTCTGATGTCGTGGGGAGTGTAATGCACGTGGATGACACACCGTCATTGCATCATCATTTTCTGATAATATTTTTACTGAGAACCAGTTCAAAGAGCCCCACATTAAGCTTGGAATTTGCCCTTGTTCTGGAGCGTGGAAAATGTCAAACCTACATTGCTGGTCATCCGGACTTTACCAACTTACAATTTCCTGTCATTTTCTTTCCTTGGGGTGCACCTGCACTGCCCTTCTCTGAGGAGCAGACCACACTCTTACTTGGTACTCAGTACAAGACTCATGATGAGGCCAGGGAATTTGGGCAAGGAGCTACAGAAGGCTCTAGAAGTTTTTCTTTAGGAAAACCCACAGTTGCCATTATTTCACAGGGACCACCCCAATACTGCGCAGTTGTTGGCCCAGCAGAGTAGGTGCTTAGGAATGGTGGGGCTGAGGGGCCATCAGTGGTGCTCAAGGGCCACCAGGGATATACACTGCAGGGCTAGAGCCGGAGTATGAAGTGCCTGGGGTCAAACTTAGGGCCTCACATACACTGGGCCTGTACCCGCCACTTGAGCTCTCTCCGTGACCCTGTGCAGTACCATTGAGCTATGTCACTGGCCCTGTACAATACCATTTTTATTTTGTTTGGGGGTCACATCCGGCTGTGCTCAGGGCTTATTCCTGGCTCTGTACTGAATTGCGTCTAGGGGGACTCAGGGGACCAAGAAAGATGCTAGGGATTGAACCCAGATCAACAGTATTCAAGGCAAGAACCCTTACTATGTTTTATATCACCAACCTCCATTTTAATGTATAAATTCATGTATTTTTGGTTCCCAGACCACTTTCTTTTTCTGTGTCTACCAAACTATTTTTTTTTATTTTTTAATTTTTATTAGTGAGACACCATGAGGTACAGTTGTAGACTTACAAATTTTTGTCCTTGGTTTCAATTATACAATGATCAAATACCCATCCCTCCACCAGTGCCCATTTCCCACCACCATGGATCCCAGTTTCCCTCCCACCCACCCCCATCCCCCCATCCCACCTTGCCTCTGTGGCAGGGCATTCCCTTTTGTTCTCTCTCCTTTTGGGTTCTGTGGTTTGCAAGAGAGACATTGAATGGCAATCATGTTTGGTCTATAGTCTACTTTCAGCATGCTTCTCCCATCCCAGGAGGATCCTCCCAACACCCTTTATTTGGTGCTCCCTTCTCTATCTGAGCTCCCTTTTCCCCTAGCATGTGTGGCTGGCCTCTGAGCCACGGAGCAAAATTCCTGGTACTAATCTCAGCCATTCTTGGGTGTTAGTCTCCTATTTTGTTACTTTATGTTCCCCAGATGAATGCAATCTTTCTATGTCTATCCCTCTCTTTCTGACTCATTTCACTTAACATGATACTTTCCATGTAGTACCACTTGTATGTAAATTTCATGACTTCATCTTTTCTAACAGCTACATAGTACTCCATTGTGTATATATACCAAAGTTTCTTTAACCAGTCATCTGTTCTCGGGCACTCAGCTTTTTTCCAGATTCTGGCTATTGTAAAGAGTGCTGCAATGAACAAACAAGTGCAGATGTCACTTCGACTATACTTTTTTGCCTCTCTGGGATATATTCCAGGAGTGGTATTGCTGGGTCAAATGGGAGCTCAATTTCTAATTTTTTGAGAGTCATCCATACTGTTTTCCAAAAGGGCTGAACCAGTCAGCAATTTTTAACAAAATGTTTCAAGCTTTCAAAAATCATAAGAAAACTAATATAGCATTTTTGCACTCAGAATTAGCAAATATCATTTTGTTTTATCTGCTTCCAATCTGTTTTTTATAATGCTAAATACAGTGAGTCTTCTTTGTACCTCTTTCAATTGCATTTTTATTTTTCCATCTATACTGGCAATCATTGTCCTAAGTTAATGAGAATTTTTAGTCTTCCTTTTTTTATACAGGTTTCCTTTTTCTACATATATCTTTCTATAAATAGTAAGCAGTATTATTAATATATGCCTGATGTGTGTTATTTTACACTACTGAGTATTTTATGCCAAACACAGTAACAACAAGTCTCACAATATAGACGTTACTGGGCCCGCTCGAGCAAATCGATGAACAATGGGAGGACAGTGACAATGACAGTGACTGAGTATTTATTACAATTTCTATTTATTATTGTTTCCTGAACCACACACACATATAGGATGTGTGTTACTGTCACTGTCATTATCCTCCCATTGTTCATCGATTTTACTCGAGCGGGCCCAGTAACATTGTGATACTTGTTACTGTGTTTGGCATATCAAATACGTCATGGGGAGCTTGCCAGGCTTTGCCGTGTGGGCGAGATACTCTTGGTAGCTTGCTGGGCTCTCCAAGAGAGGCGGAGAAATCAAACTTGGGTCAGCCATGTTGGCTGCATGCAAGGCAAAAACACTACCCGCTGTGCTATCACTCCAGCCCAGAAGTGTGTATATGTACATATATACACATAGGTATGCACATAGGGTGTGTATGTATATATATATGTATATATATATATACACACACACACATAGGATATATGTGTATATATATCCTATAAACTAAAATATATTTTACTATAAAATTTTAATAAAATATATTTTATATATGTATGACCAAAACCCAGAGGCTATAAAACCCAGCTCCCAGAAGTGCAACACCTTATTATCTCATTCCTGCTTTCGACAACCTGGCAGGCTACTGAATGCAGCCTGCCCGCAT